TGGAAGGAACAGATCTGGAATGAAACGTGCAGGTGGAGAGGACGGTCAGGTTAAGATGAAAGGGAGGCTGGAATAAGGTGATAGAGAGTGGGAGATAAGGAACAGGGTTTGTATAATGGCAACCAACTATCAAAATCATCAGGACAGAAAGCATATGAGAGGATGGGAGTATGCTAATGATTGAGGAATGAGTCCAGGCAGAATATTAATGGCTGGGGAGAGGTCTGTTGAGGAGGGCGGGTGATTAGACTTGTTCAAGGCCCTCTGTCAAGGTCCAACCTCATGTCAGGTGGTGATGCTGTGTCCTGTAAAGTCCAGAGGGCCCACATCATAGCAGGAGAGATAGGCAATGGTATGGCCCCTGGGAAATCTGGACAGGAGGAAGGTCCTAGCAGTTTAAGGTAAGTCTAGTCTGGGAATGGTTTCCAGAACTCTGGAGAAAATTCCTGATATGAAGACAGATGATGGGAGGTAAGTAGGATCTGGGACTGACTTGGAGATCATTGACCTTGGATCAAAGAGATCAGCAGGTAGTCTGGATCCAGGGCTGAACTATTCTAACATACCTGAAAAATGGTCATCCAACCTCTGTTAGAAGACCTCTAAGGAATAAAGAACCCATCACCATCTTTTTTTTTTGTCTGCCAAATCACACAGCTGACAGTGAGCTAACAGTCCCTTAAAACCTCTAGTATCTTTTGCAAACAAACCATTGTTGCATTTGTGAAGTTAACCTTTTGATATGAGTTTATATTTTTTCTTGTTGAATTTCATCTTAGATTCAGTCCAATGCTCTAGACCCATCAAGATCTTTTGGGATCCTGGTGCTATCATCCTTTGTGCAAACACCACCAAGCTCTAGGTCAGAGGTGGAGAACCTAAATCTAGATGTGTTCTGTGAAATTTGGATTCAATCAAAGGGCCACATTTGAGGATCTAGGGGGCCACATGTGCCCTCAAGGCCTCAGGTTCTCCACCCCTGTCTAGGTCATTTGCAGATTTGATGAGCTTGCCATCTAAACCTTTATTTAAATTAATGATAAAATTGTTAAGTAGCACAGGACCAACCATAGATCCTTTTGATACTCCATTGGATACCTGCCAATTTGACAATGAATCATTAATTTCTATTCTTTTGAGGGGATTATTCAACCAGTTCCAAACCATCTAATTATATCTTTGTCTAGTCTATATCTCCATCTTGTCTATGAGGACATGACAAACTTCATCATATGCTTTGCCAAAAATCTAAGTAAACTATACCTACAACATTCTTCTGATCTACCAGTTTAGTAAGTATTAAAAAGTTTTTTAAAAAGTTCATTCTAGCATGACCTGGTCTTGCTGAAACCATGCTGGCCTTTTTCAATAACTTCCCGTTTTTGATGTTCACTGACCTCTTTAATGATTCTTCCTAGAATTTTCCCAGGAATTTAAGTAAAGATCACTACCCTATAGTTTGAAAACTTTTTTTTGAAAATCAGGACATTTGCCCTTCTCCGTACCTATAGTACTTCTATTTTCAATAATCTTTCAAATATTATTAATGATGGCCCAGCAATCACATCTGTAAGTTCTTTTAGTACCTGAGAATATAGTTACCTAAGGATGCAGTTCACCTGGGCCAGGTGACTTTAATTCATCAAGAGTAAAACCAGCTGGGGGCAGCTAGGTGGCACAGTGGATAGAGCACCAGCCCTGGAGTCAGGATGAGTGACCTGAATTCAAATTTAACTTCAGACTTACTAGCTATGGGGCCCTGGGCAAGTCACTTAACTCAGATTGCCTCAAAAACCAAACAAACAAAAGAGTAAAACTAGCTGGGATCTTACCTTCTCCTTCTTTATCATAGGTATCAAACTCCCTGTTAACTTTTTCTGTTTTATTTCCAGTGCTTTTATCTGAATATGCAAGAACATTTTAAGTAGAAGAAACATGGACTAAGACATGGAAAAGGTCTAGTTTTGGTTGGGGCATAGAAGATATTAGGGTGAGTGGGAAGAGTAAGGTATAGTGGTTGGTAAAACAATGTGATTCAATGGAAAGATTGTTCAATTTGTAGAAAAATGATTAATCAAGAATCAATTAGGGGTTCTTAATCTTTTTCTGTGTCATGCACCCCTTCTCAGAATATTTTTTAAAGTGAATAACATAAAATATATAGAATTACAAAGGAAATCAATTATACTGAAATCAGCATCTTTTTGTTTTTTGTTTTTATGACCAGACAAGTTCACATGCTTCCTGAAATGTATCCACGGACCCTTTTGGGACTCTGTGCACCCTAGATTAAGAACCCCTGTGCCATGTATGTGCTAGGCACCAGAGATACAAAAGCAAAAATAAAAGTCTCTGTCCTCAAGAAGTTTACATTGTATCAGAGAGACAACAATTTATATAAATAAGTATATACAATATATATAAAATAAACAATGTAATTTTATGGGAGGAGTACTAATGGTTGGAGGGATCAGAAAAGGGTTTCACCTAGTAGGTGGCACTTGAGCAGAGTTTTGAAAGAAACAAGGAATTCTATGAGGCAGAGCTGAGGAGGAAGCACATTGTAGGCATTCTAGAAAGCTAATGCAAATGTACAAAAATGGCAGATGGAATATCTCATGCAAGGAACAGCAAGAAAGCCAGTTTAGCTGGACCATAATGCATGGGAAGGGAATATATAAAGTTGGAAAGGTAGATTTGAGCTAGTATGTGAAGGACTTTCAAAGACAGACAGAAGAACTTATATTGAATTTGGCACTAAAGTTTGTGAATAGAGGAGTGATATAGGTTCAAGTCTTGGCTCTGACATTAACTGTGTGACCTTCAACAAGTCAATTCACACCTCTGAACATTAGTTTTCTCCTCTGTAAAATTGGAAGATTATACATTCCCTACTTCACAGGGTCATGAGAAAAGTACTCTGTAAACCTTAAAGGTGTCTGTAAATGTGTTATTTTTGCTAGATTGTGGAGGACCTTGAATGCCAGACTGAGATTATTCTGTAGTGGGATTATAGATTCCAAGTTGAAAGGGATCTTAGAAGTCATCTAACCCAACCTTCTTGTTTTAAGAGATGAGGCACCTAAGGCCCCAAGAAGTTATATAACTTATTCAAGGTCATACAGGTAGTGTATAGAGGTGGAATTGATCTCCAGTCCTCTGACTTTTTCCAGAACTTTTTCCAGCTTATGAAGGCATTTTTTTTTTCAATTTGGAAAAGTGAAATTAGATCTATGCATTGGGAGGATTAAATAAGCAACAATATGAGGCAGGATTTTCAATGGAGGAGGATAGAAAGAAGACAAAATGAGGTGGGAAGACTGTCCTGGAGGCTATTTCAATAGTATTTAGGCAAGAGGCAGTGGAGAACTGAACTAGGGTGGGGGTAGAGGAATGAGAAGGGGTGGTTGGCTGGGTATAAGATGGTGAAAATCATCCCTACTTACTGGATACAGTATAAGGGCTCTGGCATGGTGGCTACTGAATGTTTATAGAACACTATAAGTACAAAATACCCTTTGGTAGCTGTTAATAAGAGTTTTGTGCTACTGTCTCTTCCTATGGGAAAACAAAAGCTTACAGGGCCCACTACTTAGTACAATTTAGATAATTAATCAAACAGTGCCCCCTTTAGTTTGGAAGTGGGAGCATAAGCATCGTCTCTGTCCTTGGAATTTTTCTTGGCTTGCCCCTTTGGAACACAAGAGAGCGTACATGAGATAGTTTGATGCAAGCTCTGTATACTGATTGGCCAGGCCAAAATAATGCCTTAGCACCAGCAGTAGAAATAAATTTCTTACTTGGGTCTTACTTGGGTCTGCCCAAAGGGTGTTTAGTCCTTAGATTTCTGTGCTGTCCGTGATAATTTTAATTTAAATTGGGAAATGGGATTATTACTGATTTTTGCTAAGGAAAATGTGCTAAATAGACCATCAAGGGTGATGTTGACTGACTGCCATCAGTAGATTATTTGAATTTTTTCATTCCCTAGCAGTTGGTAATGAATCAGTAGTTATCCACTCATACCCTTTCTTGCTCTTCTGGGCAAAAAGCAGATTGGGTGATGGGTGTATAGTGTACACCAGCAGAGCAAATTAGCCTGGCACATTAGGCTTAGGGGTGAGAAACATAAAGTACCAGGTTTTGGGAGGAGAAATTTGCTCTTTGAGTATGTCTTAGATCCTTCAGGTATTGAAGCTGGACAGACAAGAGGATCCCTAGCTATCAGTGATGCCACCAGGATAGCACATTTGTTTAACGCTTTTAGGTTTGCAAAGTGCTTTGCATATGTTGTTTCATTGATCCTCCCAACAATCCTGTGAGGTAGTTGCTATTACTATCTTCATTTTACAGACAGGGAAGCTGAGGCTGAGACAGGATTTGAACTCGGCTTCTTGACTCCCAACTCTGGCACTCTATCCACTCACTACACTACCTGGAAAAGGCCCGGGCACTGGCGCAGGTAAGACATGTAGTTAATCCCCATCTCCATCATTCCAGGGTTAGGGCCGCCGCCGCCCCCCACCCTCCAATTTCCTCTGGTTGCTCTCCTATTCCACCCAACAGATAGATGACATCAAGATCAAGAAATAAAAAGGATGAAACTACCCCCCCCCACACACACACTAATGAGAAATTGGGTGCGAATTTTTTTTTAAAGCAACTACAAGGAAAGTGCATATTTTTGGCTTTCTAAAACTATATCCCTTTCGGAAGAGGACGGGGAGCAAGGGAATTTAATTCAAAATGGCGAGCGCGGGTGACGTTATTCCTCCTCCTTCAGTCCCAAACCAAGGAGCACAAGCAGGTAAGGGCGGAACCGAAGCTTACAGCACCTCCCGGAGAGCAACAGGGAGGTCTCTCCTCCGAAAGGAAGCTGAAGATAACGGGCGGAAGCGTCGGGACTGGAAACTCACTAAGGGCGGAATTCTCCCCCCCCACACACACACACTTTTAAGGGCGGAAGTGGCCTTGTGTCTGGGACATGCTCGAGCCCTGGAGGGTCTTCGATCACTTCCGGGAACAGACCGGAAGTTGCTTTGTTTTGCTTCAAGATGGCGGCGGGAATGTACTTGGAGCATTATCTGGACAGTAAGAGGTTGCGGGTGTTGGGTCGGCAGCCTTAGCGCGGGTGCAGGGCCAGGCCGAGATGGGACATGCGCACATCGGTGGGCCCGCGGGGGGAGAGAGACGACTGAGAAGGGAAGGAGGGGAGGGGAGGGGAGGAGTGGGGGCGGGGGGGCGGGACAGATGATGGATTGTCAGCCCCGGGAGGCGCCGCTAAGGTGGACTTGATCGGTTTGGGTTTGGGAGAAGCTGAGGAGTGTCGCTTGGGCAGGGGGATTGTCTTAGACCCTGACTGCCGGGGGACACTTAATCCCAGGTTGGGGTGCACCGTGTTGATCTGGCCGGGCCAGGTGTCCCACCTGTCAGCGGATCTGTAATCATGAAATTCACTGATCTCCTTTTTCTTAGAGGAATAGACCCTCCAGTGGCTCCTCCCTCTAGCCTGTCCACCCTCCCCCTTAAGTGACTGAAGGGAGGACAGTAACTACCAAACAAGAAAGGGCTGAAACTCTTTTCCTCATGGATCTGAGACCCTGTTCCCACCAGAAAGGACCTGGTGCTAGTCAGGTTGATTGATAGGATTTTTTGTAATTAATCCTTTGCTGCTAGGTTTGGACCACTACTATTATTGACACAGTTCAAGGTCCTGTTTGAGGTTTTGTAGGCTGTGGGGGCACAGTGGAACCCTGTGACCTCCAGCAATTCACCACCTCTTCTTCCCTTCAGGTATTGAAAACCTCCCCTTTGAGCTCCAGAGAAACTTCCAGCTCATGCGGGACCTAGACCAGAGAACAGAGGGTGCGTACAGACCAAGGTGTACATTTATCTGTGTCTAGAGTGAATGATTATTTATTCTTCAGTTTGATGTTTGCTTGTACAGTCTGATACAGGGTATTGTTGTTTCTCTGTTCACTTTACCTGCTGACTTTTATGAAGGGAGGGTAATGGTAGCCTAGATATCAGCACAAATTTTTCCTCGACAAATGAAGTATTGAGGAAAGAGCTAAAGAGTTCAAAGACACTAACCTCATTACCATCCTCAAGAAGAAAGTCAGAAAATCTTATGGTTTCAACTATAGTTGCATCTCTTTGGGGGTATAGCCCTTTCCAGAATACTTCTGCTACACTTCATTATCAGTCATACTGCCACAGAATTCACAGTATGGCTTTGACTGCAACTCATGTTGGCAGACATAATCTTTGCTTCATGGCAAATACTGAAAAAAATACACAGAGATTAACAACAAGACCTCTACACTGTATTCTTCGACCTTACAGAAGTATTAGATATCATCTGTGGACCTGCACTCTGGCAACTCTTGAGCAAGTTTGGCTGCCCTGAGAAATTCACTTGGAGCCTGAGGCTACTCCCCGATGGTCAGGTTGGTCTCATCAGAGTTGATCGTGCCTTATCAGGTCCATTTCCCCCTCATCACTAGAGGATTGTGTAATAGGTACAGTCTTTTCTCTTTTATATAGTCTGCTCAAAGAAACATAACAACAAGTGATCTGCAAACTAGTGACTGAGTCCCATTGGGAAGGTCATCTTAGTAAATTCGTCACAAAAGTCCTGGAAATGGTCATCCAGGAGCAGCCGAATGCTGAGGATTGACTTGTTTTCTTTGTAAACCAGTCCCAACTTTTGAAGTGCACACAACAAGAAGAAATGTCAGAGAACATGTCATTGTTTGCATGCCTTATAATATGTTTTTTGGGAAACTGGCAGATGAAATGTAGCGCAAACATAGAATGAATCACCGTACCAAACTGAAGATCTACAGAGCAGTGGTTCTGCCCAGATTTGTGCAAGACCTGGACCTGTTATAGTCAACACAACCAGTCTCGAGCAGTTTCATCAACAGTTTTAAAGAGCTCTACCAAGCAACAAGTGGCAAACCAGGATCATCAGTAATAAATTGGAATACCACCAGTCTCCAAGCCAATTTACTTTAACACATTCTAGTTGGCCAAGGTGATAGGTGACAATAGAAAGCCTAACCAGGTCACTGAAAGGTTAGCTGAAGTAGGGTGGGAAGCAGGTTGAGCAGAAGGTATGCATCCAATAAGGCATAGACATCACTGAGGAATAATAGTGGATGGATCAGTAGCAGCTTGACCTAGGGTGGGTAGAGTTTTGAGAAAAAACACAAAGGAGCTGTTGAGGCATGCAAACAGTGACAGGCCTCGTGAACAGCATCTATAGCTACCAAAAACTTAGAAGTATACTTCGGTTATGAAGGCTGTAGAAAGGGAAATACCTTCATATTTAATTTCAGCTTCTTCTATACATGGTGGGTAGAAATGCTGATGGCATCGCCTTTGGTTATGAGTCAAATGGAGTGTTACATGCTCACACATCTTGGATATGTAACTCTGGGAAGGTCACAACTTCCCAGTGCTCTAGATGCTAACCTGCATTGGTAGAGGGAGTTTCCTCATGTGGGAGTTCCCAGTACCAGTAGAGCTACAAGTCTAGTCCATGTAGCATTTCAACTCCTTAAATATTCTGTGCATTTTAATTTAATGAGTGTGTAGGGGGGAAGATGTTCAATCAACTCTTTGGGGGGTGGGGGGCATTGTGACCAGGCCTCTGTCTCTATTGTAGACCTGAAAGCAGAGATTGACAAGCTGGCCACTGAGTACATGAGTAGCGCCCGCAGCCTCAACTCAGAGGAAAAGCTGGCATTACTTAAGCAGATCCAGGAAGCCTACGGCAAGTGCAAGGAATTTGGGGATGACAAGGTGCAGCTCGCCATGCAGACCTACGAGATGGTATGGCCAAGATCTACATGTTCCTCTCTACCTTTCTGCTCATTCCCATGGATCTTAAGACTTCTCAACTGTGTTGAGAGTTTTCATAGATTTGGGGACTTTGTGGAATCTGTTTTGGGCCTATAACTTTTTATTTTAAGGCAGTTGGGGTTAAGTGACTTGCCCAGGGTCACACAGCTAGTAAGTGTCAAGTGTTTGGTCTGAGGCTGGATTTGAACTTGGGTCCTCCTGACTTCAGGGCTGGTGCTCCATCCACTGTGCCACCTAGCTGCCCCTTAGGTCTGTAATTTTCCTTATGAATAGTTTCATCCTTCCCATTCTCTTATCTCCCTGCCTTCTCTTCTTCCCCCCCCCAACCTTCTCCCAGGTGGATAAACATATTCGAAGACTGGACACGGATCTAGCCCGCTTTGAGGCTGATCTGAAAGAGAAACAGATTGAGTCAAGTGACTATGACAGCTCTTCCAGCAAAGGAAAAAAAAGTGAGGAGGATGGGACGGGGCTCTGGGAGGTAGAAGCTTAATAGAGGCAGCATATTATAATGAATTTGGAGTTAGAAGACCTAAGATCAGATACTACCTGCCACTTACTACCTATCTGACCTTGGCCCTCAGTTTCCTTATTAGAAAAACTGGGGTAAGGGGATTGGGTTGAGGTAAATGAGTTTTTCTTCCATCTCTAAATTCTATGACTCTAAAAGAATAAGAGGGAGGATAGCTGGGTCAGAAGGAACAGAAAAGGCAAATATGGCTTAACCCATCTTTTGGTCTCCTTGCCCCCTGGCTTTTCCCCTCTTTCCTAGAAGGCCGGGTTCAGAAGGAGAAGAAAGCTGCCCGTGCTCGTTCCAAGGGTAAGAATTCAGATGAGGAGGCTCCCAAGGCTGCCCAGAAGAAGCTGAAATTTGTGCGCACGTGAGTTTGAATCTTACCAAAATCCTTACCTCTATTCCTCCACGTCTTCTACCTTTTTTTCTTTCCTTACGTAGTGGCCCAATACTTGTGGCTAGAAATGAGGATAACTTCTCCCTAACTCCATCCCCATCCTAAATCCTCCCCATTATATCTGAAGGTCATAACATATGCCATTACCTCTGTTTTTTAGAAGCCCCGAGTATGGTATGCCCTCGGTGACTTTTGGCAGTGTTCACCCTTCAGACGTGCTGGATATGCCAGTGGATCCCAATGAACCCACCTACTGTCTTTGCCACCAGGTTTCCTACGGGGAGATGATTGGCTGTGATAACCCTGATGTGAGAACTGTTTTGCCTGTGGGATGGGATGGGATGCTAAGGAGGGGTGATGGAGGGAGGAGATGAGAAGGCCGAGATTTCCTTCCCACAAACACTGAAACAGACCTTGTTAGGAAAGCATTCTCTTTATCTGCCATTTCCTTTTTGGAGGATGTTACTTTCTAAAAGGATGAGAAAGGTACTGGTTAGGTGAGGAAAAAGACAAAGACGTACTGAACTCTGAAGCAGTGTAATACATGAAATGTAGTCAGAATCAGCCTTGCCCTACCTAGTTTTCTTGAGGATCCTTTGTTGAGGAGGAGGAAGATAGGAGAGAGGTGTAGAATAAATGAAGGGAATTCTAACTCCCTCCTTATAATTTTCCTTCCTCTTCCCACCTTCTTTCAGTGTTCCATTGAGTGGTTCCACTTTGCTTGTGTCGGATTAACAACCAAGCCTCGAGGGAAATGGTGAGTGCATGGCTAAGGGCAGCCTGAGTCTGAGCCTTGTACTAGATTTGAGGAAATTTCTTTAACCTACCTGCCCCTCTTTGCCACCTTCTCCCTAGGTTCTGCCCTCGGTGCTCCCAGGAACGGAAGAAGAAATAAACAAGGGCCTCAGATGCATCATAACAGTTTCATCTCTTCTCCTGGGCTGGGGCATGGGGTGGAGACCCCTGTGTTGGGGTGTTGGGACTCAGGGAGAGAAGAAGACTGGTACAGAGAAGTCACTCCCTTCTCCCCCTGCCTCCCCCACGCACATACACACTCTTGGTGCTGAGGCTGCATCTGAACTGCAGGAGGGCGGGTGGTATGTGCCCTCCTTTAGAACATCACCTTCTCCTACTTGGGGTTGGTGGAGGAGGGGTCATCCCCACTTCCTCTTTGCCTCCATGCTGAGGTTGGTGCTGTATCTTGGAGGGATACCTTTTTACTTCCCTCACTGTGTATATAGGGGCTGGGGCAGCAGTACAGAGGTGCCTCCCTTCCCCCCCATGGTGGGGGCTATGGTATGTTGATCTTCCTTCTCCCCCTGGACTTCATCTTGTTGTAGGGCCCTTTCTGTAGGGTCACTTTCTACCCTGTGGCAGGGGAGTTTTTAGGCCTCTGTGTATTGGAGGGAGGTAGAGACCTCCTTTGTAAGGGAGGAGTGGGTGGGAGAATAAAAGTCATGAAATCTGGCCTGCTGTATTTATTGAGAAGGAAAAGTTAGAAATATGGGCCATTGTGACATCTGACTCCCTCCTTCACCCCTCCATTTATTGCCCCAAATGCTTTTCCAGGTCCTGGAGCTACCTTGATTTCAGCCTTTTTCACACCCTCAAGCCACAGAAGAAAGAAGAACATGACTTCACATTCCTGTGCTTTGCTGTCCTAAAAGCTTATGTTTATTTAGTGCCTTGCAATTTATAACAACCCACTGACATAGTGTATTTATTGTCTCTTATTGATAAGGAAACTAAGGCTTGGCTTAAATGATTTGCCGAAGATCACACTGCCAGCAACTGACAGAGCCTCAAGATGTGAACTCAGGCCTTCTGATTCAGTTCAGTGCTCTTCCCACTAGGTTAGACTCCCTTTCTGTAACTTAGCTTAATGATGTGTTTAAATAACCTAAGGCTAGGGCAGAGCCCATCCAAAATACCACATAAATGTGTTACTCACTAGAAGTAGCGTGGTAAAGTCTCCGGAAGACCCAGGTTCAAATCCACCTCTGAGACTTGTTAGCTCCATGATCCTGGATGGGCAAATCACTTACCCTCTCTTTTCACTGAACAACTCAGGACATCATAAACTGCTTGTGATATGGATTGGTGGAGGGGAATATATTTTCAAAGTTAAAACATAACTGCTTTCTGCAAGACACTGTACTAGGTTTGGGGAACTCTGGGGGAAACTGCCTTTGCTCACAAGGAGTTGTATGTTCTACTGGGAATATAATAATAGCTAGTAGTTCTAGTATAATACTTTAAAGTTTGCAAAGTGCTAAATATACATACATATATATGTATGTATAATATCTCAGGTCCTCACAACCATGAAGTAAAGCACTGTTGTCCTCACTTCACAGATGATTTTGCAGATAATTTTACACATTAATTGGCTTGCCTAGAGTCAGAGCTGGTAAATGTGAGACAGGATTTGAAATCAGGTCTTCGTGAATCCAAGTCCATCGCTCTAACCACCTAATTGTCTCCATACAAATATGTGGACGAAGGAGAAGATAACTGGACTACAGGCTTCATAGAGGCAATGGTACCTGAACTGAGATTTGAAATAAATAAAGTTGATGAGAGAAATTAATAGTTATCATATACCAAGTATGGGGAATACTTGCAAATACCAAGTTGATGAAATATTAGCTCAGAATATAGTGGGAAGATTAATACGATATGAGGGAAGGCTAGAAAGGTAGCTTAGGGTCAAATTGTGAAGGTCTTTAAATACCAGGCCACGGAGGTATTTTATCCTGGATGTAAACCCTGTTGAAGATGTTTGAGCAGGAGAATGAAATAGAATCGTGCCTTACGAAGACAGTTTTGGTAGAGCATAATGACGAGGAAAGAGGCTGGAGGCAGGAAGGGCAGTCAGAAGGCTGTTGCAATGGAAAACAACGAGGGCCTGAGGGTCCATGTGGAGATAGCATCGGCAAGACCTGGCAAGTGATTCGATATACGTTGTGAGGGCAGAGGAAAGGCCAGAGATGACTCCGACATTAAGACCTTGACCCCGAGTATGGTAGTGCTCTCAACCAAAAGGGAATCCCTCCAATTAAAATTTGTATGGATTACCCTTCCTTCTCAGTTCTAATTCCAATTCTTCCCAATCCCTCCTCTCATTCCCACAGCCTTCGGGCTCCGCCCTTTACAATGAAACCCACTTCCTTCTCTTTTACGAAGCAGTGCCAGGTTTCCGTCCTCGACCTCTCAGTTCCCGGCCACGCCCTAGTATGGTCTGGGCCCGGCGCCTTCCCGCCCTACTCCATCCTACCCAAGCAGGCCCTTCTTTCTCGTTTCGCCCCGCCTTCGGGGGGGGGGGGAAAGAGGCTTTTTTATGCTCCAACAAGCCCCGCCCCCTTCCGCCCTCCACTCTCTCGAGACTGTCCCTGTCTCCTGGGCCACGCCTCTAGTTCGCCTCGGCCCCGCCCCCATCCGCGCTCTATTAGGGGCCGGTTGAGGGAGGAGGGAGCGTGGGCGTCAAGCTTCCAGGGCCATGAGAAGCCAAGCTTTTGGCCTTACTCTCCCACTCCTGGCAGGTGAGGCCTCTTCTCTCCTATAGGAGAGCCTCCATCTGGGAAGACATCTGCTGATATCCGCCCGGCCCCTCCATCCCCCTCAGGAATATCCCACCTTTGGAGAGCCCCGAGAGAGCTCTGCCCCTTGAATCCTTGGATCCTCCCCTAGCGGTCCCGCGATCTCTCCCCACTTGCTCTTGATACGCAGTATCCCTAGTCTCGTCTTTGGTGCTACTTTCTTTTCTCTAGAGGGTAAGGCCTAGGCTCCCCCTAACGAGGCCTAGGGTGTGTCTTGAGGGCAATAGCGAGGAATCCTGGGATTTCTTCCCCTCCTCTGTCCATTCACTCATCCTCTACCATTCTATTCAGCTACCATACCAATCCATCAGTTCATCCAACCGTTCTGTCATCCATCGTCCATCCTATCCATTCGTCCATTTATCCACCCATTCTCCGTCCATCCTTCAGTCATACATCATCTGTCTATCTGTCCCTGCCCGCAGTGATCCTGCTGGCCCCAACACCGGCCCCATTCCCGGTCCCAGACCCTGTTGTCTCTGGCACTCCACTTTCTCCAGCCGAATACGAGAACTTCTTCTCAGCGCTGACTCCATCCTGGAAAGCAGAGACTGCCTGCCGCCTCCGGGCAGCCCAGGGCTGCCAGCACCACAAACTTATTCAGTTGGACCAATATGAGAACCACGGAGCCCTGCCCGAGGGTGAGCTCCTGCTTGTCCTCTAAGCAGATGAAGACAAAGGGAAATTGAGGCATTGGGGGGAAGTGAGGGCTGGGGGAACCAACTACCCAGCCCTGCCTTCCTCTCTCTGGGGAAAGGAGGAGGGCAAGGGGCATTACACTGAGATAGTAACTGCTCATTCTTGAGATGGGCAGGAATGATATTTTCTCTTCTGCTCACCACTTCTAACCCCCTATTCTCTAACCCCAAAACCCTAAATCCCCAGGCTCTGTCTGCACAGACCTCCCTTATGCTTCCTGGTTTGAGTCCTTCTGTCAGTTTACCCAGTACCGTTGCACCAACCGACTCTACTATTCGAAGGTGAGGTTGGAGAGGAAAAAGTCTTTATGTCCAGGGGTGAGATTAAGAGAAAAGGCAGAAGTTAAGGTGGGAATTCAAACTCATAGTGGAGGTAGGGGTAAATCTGGGAAAGGGCATACTTTCATAACCTGATATTTTGCAAATTGCTTATACAATGTAAATACAGTGATATTTCTTATGTATTCAAGCTGCATTCAACAACCCTATTAACTTGATAGTATCAGAGATGGAAGCTGGGAAGAGAAGCAGAAATAGGGAGGGAGAGAGTGGACCTAGACAGAGCCATTTTTTCCCCTGTTTCTCTAAAAGGATCCCAGTGATCTAATTAAAATGATAAACTACAGAATATATAGGTGTAGCTCAGACCTACCCCTACACTAACAGCAGGGAATCCCTATTGAGGATTTGGCCTTCTGAAAGGATCCCTTCTTACTTATCACAGCCTAGGACCTATTGGGGGGACATATTGAGAGAGGGCTGAGGAATAAGAAGGGGGTGGGGCACCAGTTTGGGGAAGCCATCCCCAGTCTTCTACAGAGTCTCATGCTCCCCATCACTCACCTTCTTTTCCATTTGCAGAGGATCTTGTGCTCCCCATCACCTGCACCTGCTTCATCTCCTGAGACCTTTACCAGGATGGACAGCACAACAGTCTCTCTTAGCCTGCCCCATGTCATATCAGGTGAGCTTCCTCAAGCAGCCATGAAGATTTTGATTTCATCCTCAGTAAAGGAACAGGATGCATGTCTGCTGGTAGGGCTGCTGTGGCTGTATATGTAACCCCCATCCCATAGTCCTTTGGCATGAGACTATCTCCTCATTTGTGGGGATCAATGCCCCACACCTGTGTGAAGGGCAGGGCAGAGTTGGCAGTATCAGGAGAGAAGGGAACTCTACTCCCATCAGACCTTCTTTGAGAATCTTTTTGAGTCTTTTCCAGTTCTGCGGTGGTTAAGAGTGCTTCTGGCTTCCAGCTTCAAGAGAGAAGGTTGCTGAATAAGACTCTGGGAAGAAGCTCACATGAGAGGAGCTAGCAATCTCCATCATGTCCTTATTGCCAGCTCACTACACTTGAGACTTCAGGAAATTTGCCCTTGGGTGAGGTCTGGGATTCTCTGTCTTGGCTGAGCTGAGTTATCTTGCTCCCAATGGAAGAGCTTTGTTCAGTATTGTCTGGTATATTTTCTTATATATGCTATCTCTGATTTCTGTGTTGCTCTCAACTTGGATAAGTGAATTTTTTTTGCTAATCACTATGTGTATTCATTGTGGAAATGGTATTTGGTGGGAAAGGGGTCAAACTTTGGATATAAACTTCAGAGTCCTTTCCCCATTAAGAAATAGAAATCAAAAGTTTAACTTGAGCCTGAAAATCACATCTCCTAGATTAATAATATTTAAGGGAGCAGATAGATATAATTCCAGCCCAGTACCTCTTCTCTTTGAGGAAAGCAAAGTGGCCAAGCTTCTGACTCCAACCTTCTGCTTCTTCTCCTGGCAGAAAATAAAGTTTCCCTTGGAGAAGAGTTGGGGGAGAAGAGGCTAGAGATGTCTATTCTGCTTCCCTTCAAGCCATGAAATGATACCCTTTATGTATGTATGTTGTGTTCTGTGTATGTATATGGCTGGCTTTATGGGTAGGCAATAGCTACCCCCAAAGCCTTGTTTATTCACCTGCACAGTCTACCCTTGGGAAGTCCTGCATCTTAAGCTAACACCTTCACCTTGGTTCTTTGTTTTGTTTTTGTTTTTAAAATTTTTTTCAATTAACAAAAATCTTTTTTCTGCTTTCTGTACACACATTTTAAAAAAGAAAGAAAAACAAAACTTTCATAACAACAAATTCTCACATTGGTCAAATCCAAACAGTATTTTTCTCATTCTACAT